CATAATTCCGAGGTGGTGCTGTACTATTGTGGAATATCTCAACTGCACAAGTAGGAACATGTCATTTCTTTTGCAAATAATATCCTATTTCCTTGCTCTATAAAAAGTGCCAGAAAGCTGTTCTTGCAAACCAGAAAAGAACCTAGAGGTACACAGTGTTGTCTAAAGAACGTATAAATGATTCTGTATAAGGAATCACAACTATATGATAAATACCTCAAGTATAAAAGTCCACCAAGCCAAGGTCCTCAGGTGGTGTAATTTTGGTTTTTTGGAGGATAGAGGGGAAGCCTTAACCCAGCTAGAGGAAAAGAGGAAATTCAACTAGGCTCTCCTGCAATTTTTAAAAAACTGGATGCAGCTGCTGCCCTCCCTAATTCAGACTGGAGCCACAGTATTGTGGTAGGAGTTTATCTGCTCTCCTTGTGTCATTTTCCTGTTTTGAATTGTTGTTTTCCTCACCTCCAAATAGCTGCCATATGTGTGCTTGTGGTATCCAGAATATGGTTCATTGAGGAAGGTCTGAAGTTTAGTGGTAGAGCACAGAAGGAGAAGGTCCCAGGTCACTCCCTGGCATCTCCAGGTAGGGCTGGAAAAGACCTGCACCAGAACCCTGGCAAGCTGCTGCCAATCAGTACAGGTAATACTGAGCTAGATGGACCAATGGTGAACTTCCTGGAGTCTTACCTTGTGTGTTCTCAACTATCTGGCTTGTATATGGCTGGTCTGTGCTCATTTTGGTTGGTAAACGGAAAGGTTCTGGTGAGGCTGCTGAATATAGGGTTGTATATAGGGTTGCTTACCATTACAGTATACCAGTTGTACCTCTTTTTAGGCTCTAATCCTATACCCACTTCCCCAAGAGTAAGCACCATTACACTAAGTGGGACCTACTCCCAAGAAGGCAGGGCATAAGCTTGCACTGTTAATATCAGTGTATGGTGTAGGCTTTCTTTTTGCTTATTAGTAACCTGCCTTTCAGAGCTGCAAATGCTGTCCCACCTGAAACACCTCTGCATATTAGGAGTGCTTTATTTAACTATACAACATTTCTGCCAGGATGGCCCTGAAGATTCTCAGATTCAGTCATAACTTTGCTTTGTGAATGTTTCTGAATTCTGCTTTTCTGAAAACTGAAGTGCCTTTTGTTTGTGGATGAGTAAGAGAAAACAGTTTGCGGGTCTTCACATGTACAACTGTTTCGGTCCTCTGCACACATACTGAGGAGAGTTCTAATGAATTAAGTTGTTCTGAATAACTGAGAGTTTCAGTTTGCAAGTGTTAGATAAATAAAATACAGTCAGTATCCTATGCTTGGGTAACCTGCCAGTTAGGTTATTGCAATATGCTTCTCAAGGGGTTGCCTTTGAACGTTGCAGCTTGTGCAAACTATGATGGTCAGATTGATAATGGGGACCAGAACATATAACACCTATTCTAGCCTGCTTGCACTGGCTGTCGGTACATTTCCAAGGTGCTGGTTTTTACCTGCAAAACCTTACATGGCTTGGGACCACAATACCTGATGGAGCTCCTCTCCTGGCATGAACCTATCCATGCACCCCACTGATCCTCTAAGACCCTCCTCCAAGGGAGACCCAGAAAAGGATGGGTGTCTCAGTGGTGCCCTCCTAAGCTTTAGAACAATATCCCCGGCGCAACCTACCCGGAACCAACATTGTCATCTTTTTTGTGCAAGGATAAGGACTTCCTCTGCTACCAGGCATTTGGCAGCATGTAAGTTTTAACTGGGGTCTCATACTGTTGGTATAATAATATGTGCAGATATGTGTGTGTTTATGGTTTGCTTATAGGTTTATATGTAAATGTTTCATATTATATTGCATCTTAAAGATTTTAATATTGGTAAACTCTGAATCAATTGCTATGCAAGTGATGTGACGCATTTGCCATATAGTTTAATAGATAACATCTGTTTTAATCTTGTTTTTACAATGCTATGCATTTTTTTAAATTGCTGTAGGTCGTTTAAATGTTGGTTTTGTTGTGTTTCTTTGATTTTGGACAGTCCTCTGAGAAGGATGGTATACACTGGTGATCTCCAACTACAGGAGGTTGGAGTTGATGCTCCTTTCAACTCTACTATTCTATGAGTCTATGAAATAATATTATTGTATTGTTATATGTTTTAAAAATTGTAAACCTTCCAGAGAGTCCAATGGGCTATGGGGCAGTGTGTGTGTGCCCGCATGTGTGTGTGTAAATATACTATTGGTGATCCTTTTTCTATCTCTGGAGTCTGGAGTCTTTGTAAACTGTCTAGAGAATTGGATGATAGAGAAATATAATGAGTTTTAAGTATATGAACATGTTCATTGAACTAAATGGGACTACAAGGGCTTTCCTCACCTTCACAGCCAATGAATGTGATGCTGCCTCTTCTCCAGAGCTTAGCACACTATAATGTTGATTCACCACTTGCCAGTTGCTTTGTGGATCCAAGTTTAAGGATTTCTTTTATGCTTTCAAACCCTAGAACAGGACTGGGCAATCTACAGCCCTGGACTAGATTTCACACAGCCCTTGGCCTAATTCCAGAAATCCTCTACAAGCAGTCAGTTCAGGGCTCTAGCAAGCAGTTCCTTCCCTTACCAGTTCATTGGGAAATGAGTGGTGGGAATGTGGAGAAAAGGCAGAGCCAATGTGGAGAGGGCAGAACAAAAAAAAAAGGGATAGCTGCATCTACTTTTATCTATGGTCCTGCCTACTCATGGCCCACAAATCTTTTGCTCCTTGTGGGAACATGGCACTTGAGGAAAGCGTTCCTCAACTGTGCTCTACCAAAGATTTCTTCCATGTCAACATATCTGTACATTATTATTCTGACTTCTTGCTCTGTGTGCCCCTCTCTGTCTGAGGAATGGTGGTTGACGGTTTAGGACAGGCTCTCCTCAACAGTGGCACCTAGACTGTGAAATTCTGCTAGAGAAGCACACCTCATTTCATCCGTATGGTTTTTAGGCATCAGGCACAGGCAGTGCTCTTCCAGAAAGCTTTTGGTGAGGGTTGCCACTTAATTCATACAAAACCTGTCATGGAGTGTCTGTTGCTGCCCAAGAGTTTCTGTTGTAATTCTTGTTAGTTGTTGTATTGTATTTTGCTTGTATTGCAGTAGAAACTTTGCTAGCCACTTGGTAGTTTTGGAATCAAAAGGCAGGCATAAAACATTTTTTAAAAGTGGGACCTGTGACCACATATATTATCCTTTAATAGTTCTAGTAACCATTTCAGCCAGCCATGTGCTCCCCCAGGATATCCATTCCATTGTCTCATTCCAGTTTTCTTTTCCAAATCCTCATTGGTTGTGGTTATTTTCCAATGTCAGCATTCATGAAAGCACATGGATACCTCCAGTCATTTGTTGATGACTCCTCTTTTCAGTTAATTTGTGTTCACTTACCACCTGAATTTGCTACTAGAGCAATTAATGATTGAATATGAATAGTCAATAACCCTGAAGCCTTTGAGCCAGATGTGGCCCATGGAAGTTATAGAAACAGAAACAGAACGAGTCAGAAGGGTCCTCCTGGGTCTAGTCTGACCCCCAGCTCCAGCCAGCTCTGCTCATGACATGCCTACCATGTGCATGTCCAACTGATCCTTGAACACCTCACTGATGGGGCTTCAACCACCTCCTGTGGGAACCCCATTCCATACCCTCAGGGTCCTAACTGTCAGGAAGTGCTTCCTGGCATCCAAATTGAACCTTGGCTCCCTGAGCTTGGCGTCCTGCCCTCCTCTGCAGGGGAGAACAGGTCTCTACCCACCTCCGTGTGACTCCCCCTCACATACCTGTATGTCGCCAACAGATTCCCTCAGAGTTTCCTCTTCTCCAGGAGGGACCCAGCTCCCTCAGTCTTGCCTCATGTGGCTTTCCCTGCAATCCATCCTTGTTGCCCTACATTGCACAAATGCCCCACTTGCCAAATTAGATGCAAAAGAGATGTGAAAAAGTGGCTTCGGGGGCAACAGAACTTTTAGTTAGGCTACTTTAGAATGTAGGAATGAGGTAGAGCTGGCCAACTAACAGTGCTTTCTAAGAGAATTGCTACAGCCAATTAAAAGATGTTGTGCAGCTATCCTACCTTTTTTTCTTCTTTGTTTGCATGTGAAGAGACAGAACAAGCAGTAGGAAAACATGGCCTGGAAGACAAAATTATCTCCATAGCCTGTAAAACTCCATGTTCAAGATAGGATCCATTGCTGGATATCCGTTGTAAGATAAAAGATGCTTTGAAGTATCCCAGGAAACAGCTGTGGCCAGCATTGGTGAATTGTGTCAGCAATCCAACAGCAAATCTTCCCTTTGTAGCTTCAAGATAAGGATTTATTGTGCAATTGCCTGCTTGCAATTTTTTCCCACCGCTTTTTTCCCCACTTTTTTCTTACCACAAAAAATCCACTAAAGAAAAGCCAAATAACTGCACAGTGCCTCTTGATTGGTAGTGCTAGCAGCGGTTTGTGCAGAAATATCCCATTTGATCTTTTTAAAAATGGCTCATACCTGAAGGGAGCTACTGTCACCTGGAGGGGGGGAAGTGGAGCCACATCTTTAGAACTTGGCCAAGGGGCTATTTGGATGAGAATTGTTCCTTATAGTAGTATTCCTGGCCTGACTGACTTGCTGGGAGCCACTCCCCATACCTCCAAGTCTTTCCAGCCTCTGCTGCAGAGCAGTAAAAGGGAGGATATTCTATTGTCTTCTTCACTACCAGCAACAGCTGCTGATTGTCCACTTTCCCTTAAAGAAATAACAACTGTGTTACAATGCAATCCTTGCATTGCATTGCATTTTTTTTACAATGCAAAAAATCCTATGACCCCTGGCATGCTGGCAGTGGTAGGCCTTTTTTCCCACCTAAAAATGCATAGAATTGTGCCCTTAAGACACTTCATGAGAAAGTAAGGTGTGGTTGTATCAGTGAGCGATGTCTGCCAAAGTGACCTGTGTAATTACATTCCCCAACACGGTTCACAACTGCTCTTTTAGAAAAGGAAGTTTATTAGTCACGCTGCTCACCAGGATGCAGTCTTAGAAAAGGATCAATGAAGCTGCTTGGCGGCACATTCTCCCATTCCCCCAGAGTGGGGCACTGTCTTTGCTTTGTGTTGATGGCTCTAAAGACCTCGCATTTTTGGTATCCTGGGCTCCCTCTTTGACACAAAATCCATGGTGGCAACAACCCACACCCACTTACTTACACCTTCCAGGGTCAAGTAAGGACACCCCTGCACATACATGTGCAGACCTAAGCCTATTTCCCTGCTGTGGTGAGGGCAAATCTGTTGTGCTGTTTACCAGACTGCTTGGGCACCAAGCTTTGGTACAGGCTGTGGGCAAGGAATGGCTGGGACAATAGGGCAAAATTCACTGTGGGGCTTGAGCCTATGGGGAACCTGGGAAGACCCCAGCAGGAGATGGGAGAGATGCTCTCCTGTGGAAAGGACAGCTGCAGGCATCAAACACATGGGAAAGAGCAGTGCTTGGTTGTGCTTGGAGGGAAAAATGAGGTTTTGGGCTCACCCACAAACTAAAAAAAGAGAAAAAGCCAGAGGTAGCTATAAGGAAGGATGTGTGTATAGCGTGGGGGGACAAGGGGGCTGCTGAGAAGGCCCTTTCCCACAACAAAGCTGTTTTGTGTCAATGAATGCTCTCCATTCAGCCATTCTCTCCGCAAGTAGCCAATTCAGCCAACCTAGCTACAAGAACCGAAGTGCAGAGTACCCAAGCGAAGAGGGGAGTAGCCAGTTCTTGGTGCCTCAACTAAAACTCGGTTATTGCAAGCCAACCAAACAGGAAAGCAAGGACACACAGACTACCCTGGAGCCTGGGCACTACTAAACACAACACTCCAGTCTTCAGGATCTGGCCCAGGGATAGGGATCAAAAGTGTCTAACCCTGCTCCCTGCCTCCTCTTCCCCTTTCTCAGCTTAACTTGCTTCCCATCACTCCCCATTTCTAGGATGTTAGTGCTGCCCACAGGAGCCATGTGCATGGGGTGGCTTTTAGGGCATCCTACCTAGAGGTCTCCCCTCCTGTTTCCCGTGGAACCTGCTGCTCTTTCATGTGTACAGGCCCACTGAATGTAACTGCACCTACACAACCATTTGGACATTTGTTTAGGGGCTGCACAGTCCCCCACTGCACCATCACATGACATCACATCCTCGTCTTACCCAATCTTTTCCCAGACCCTCCCAGCCAATTGCAACTCTCTCCCAACACCCAGGTCATTGATGTACTGAGCCAACCCTTCCTTCTTTGGTTCTGTGCCTTTGCTCTTCCTTCTGTCTGTCCAATCTGCTTTCTGGTCCCCAGGATGCATTCCTGACACCAAGGAGAACTGCTGAGCGGCAGCATGTTTCTTGGGCGTACAAATGGATGATTCTGTTGATAGCACCTTTTGGATAGCGGTAAGGCATTGCCACAGCAGGCTGAAAAAGCAAGCTAGCTTTCAGTAGCAGGAATGGTGTTGGATGGATTACTATGTAGTCCTGTGTTCTATATGCTGAAACAGAAATATACAAAAATGCACCTTGGTGCTACTTTTTGGGAAGGGGGACTATATATCGTGCATATGTGTGTGTGCGCGCATGCGTGCCCACGTGAGGCCCAAAAGAGGAAACGTGAAAGGTCCCATGTGTGGCTCTTGCTGCTGTTCCACCGCTGCCTGGCTCACTCACTGTCGCTCTTGTCTGCCAGCACTGTGTCTGACTCTTCTGTGATCTGCAGCAATGTGCTCATCTCAGGGCTCTCGCCTCTCAATAGATCTGCGTTCTCTGTCTCATCTCCACCGACTTCCACCATCTCGGTGGCCTTCACTTCCACCTCCCCCTCCCGTATCTTCTTGACATGAAAAGTAAAAGGTGGCACTTTATAGACAGCGGTCTTGGAGCGTGCATAGACCACGTGGTCAGGGGTGAAAGACTTCTTCAGTTTATCCCGGGATGTCTTCATCTTCTCTCTACGTTCAGTGGTGACAATCTTGGTGCCTAACTTGTTCATCCTTTTCTCTAGATTGTGTCGGGTCTTCTCCAGATTCTGCTTGGTCTTCTCCAGGTTCTCTTTGGTCTTCACTTTGGTCTTCTCCAGGTTTTCTCTTGTCTTCAACCTTGTCTTCTCCATCTTCTCTTTGGAGAAGGCCTTCTTGAAGTCATCCACCCTCCGCATGCCACTTCTCTTGATGCGCTCTGCCCGTGACTCCTCAATTATCTCCTCTACCTCCACCTCTTCATCTGAGGAAAGCTCGATATGTCCCTCATCAGGGTGCTCCTCATTTGCTGGAACCTCCTCCCCTTCTTTCTCCATCTCTTTCACAGACTTACTAATGCTCAGCTTGGTCGGCAGCTTCACTTCATCCTGGAAGACACAAGGAGGAGAAAAAAATGTGAGATTCCTAAGGCTGACATCCCCAGCAAAGAAGCCTGAAATGGCCTCTTCCTTGGGCTGTAGGACATGAAATTTGGCAGAGCTACTTCTTGGGTTTTGTGAATTCCGGGGCTACATGGAGAACATGTCTAAAATTCCAATATATGTGTGCACGTATTCAGCAATTTAGGGAAGGAAATAAGGCGAGGCTGGGGGAGGGGTGGACTTCTTCTTTTCTGGACTAGAGACTTCCCTCTGTGCAGATCACTCTGTTAGGAAGCACACGTGGCAGGCACTGATGCGGGGCAGGAAAATATATCCCTGCTCTATTGTTTGTCCGTCAAACAGAAAATGTGCTGTTTCGTAAGTTCATTAGTAACAATGTATGCAAATTGCAAATGTAACACAAGGCAAATCTGGCAGTTTCAGACATGTAATGAATGATTTGCAGGTGATTGTCCCCTCCCTTAGATGTTGTAATTGTGAAGAATGTGGCTGTATGCAAATACCATTGGCACCTCCTCCGTAGTGTTTGAAGTGTCATTTGGGTGAACTGGCAAATATTTCGCCCCTCCCATGACTCTGCCAATTTTCTAAACATTTTTGTTTTACATTCTTTCCCCCATTTATATTATTTTAAGAAGATACCTGCAAAACATAAGCCCCATGAAGCCATATAATACTATGCCCAGTCAAGTACATCCCCAGTTTCCGGGTTTTTTTCCCTGTCCTGGACTTCTAACAAGAGTAAATGTCTCAGGAAGCCCCAACGCAGGTAACAATTTCTTGCTGAGATGCTGCATACAGAAGATTTTATAGGTCATGCTGGACAGACTTAATTTCATTAGATGATAGTTAGATTGTAAGCTGCCAGGCTTTTGGAAAGATGGTTTGAATAACTATAATTATCTTTTTTAAGTGGCTGGAAGCAGCTAAACTATTTTTCCCCAGCAAACTCTGTTCCTCTATGATCCTTCCCCAATTACTGCTCGAAAAAAACTTAACTTGAAGTACAATACAGTGGCTCTAACATCTGCTTCTGATGCTGGCATGCAGAAAGACTGTCAAAAGGCTCCCCCTAGTGTGTATGACTTGACAAAGCTCTTGCCCAAAGCAGCACAAAAGAAAGCAACCAGTTATCCTTATTTGCTTGTTCAATTGGCCTTGAAGTGTAGCATCTGAATCTGATACATTTCTTACTTCTATGGAACATGTCTGAATCTGTCATCATCTACCTGGCAGTGCTTCCTGTTCTGTCTTTACCATTCCAAAAACAGCAAAGTCTTTACTGTGCCACAAAAATTAACTAAACTTATCACAGCCCAAACATTTGTAGACCAAATGCCACTTTATCAGATTAAGTGAATGTTGTCCCTGGCTGGCAATGTATTTGTTTTTTTCCCACTTCTTATCTACCCAATAACTAATGTTCTCTGGGCAGATTACAACGATCCAGAAACCAAAATGTCATTTTAAAACAGAGTTAAAAATATAAAATTCAATAGCAATATTTGAGATAACAAAATGCATGTTAAATAATACAATAAACAGCCAGGTGCTTGTGTGTGTGTGTGGGGGGGGGGGGGGAAATGAGGATATGCTAGTTCTGTCAAATTTATTTATTGAATTACTCGATCTGTATGCCACCCCACTAGCCAGGTTCTCTGGGCAGCTGACATGGTTACAATCCATTACAACAAAACATCATATAAAGCACATACGACAATACACAATGAGTGCCAATAACACTAAAATTATAAAACTATCAGAGTTCAATAAAACCAAGAAATACAAAATAAAAATGAATATCGTATATAACATAATCCAGAGAGAAAACAAAACAATTAAAAATATTAAAACAGGTAGGCAGCAGTGCAATTAACAAACGTTCAAAAAAACCAAAACCAAGGCTCCCCCTAATAAAAATAACTATGGAATAGATGTGTTTTTAGTTAGCATCTAAAAGCCAAAAGGTTAGGTGCCAACCATATCTCAAGTGGGATTGAGTTCCAGAGTGTGGGCGCCATGTTTGAAAAAGCTCTCCCCCTTGCAAACTCCCCATCCACTTCATTGTTCTGTTACATATTTTACTGTTAGATGTTTTAAACTGTTTTTCTACATGTTCATTGCCCAGAGAGCCCTGCAAGGCTATCAGGCAGTATAAAAATGAAATTAAGTATTCTGTTGTCTGGGTCCTAGTGCCCTGTCCTGGTTCCTGCTGCCTACACCCCAGACTCTGACAGATAAATGCAGTAATTGCAGTGACTATTCACAAAGTGGTGTTGATAAACTTCCTGATATAAAGTTACTAAAAGGTGTAGTGTGCTAAAAAGCCATCATCTTGATTCAAGCTACAGATGACAGACTTGAACTACTCTATCTTAATTCAGCATTATAAAGTTGATTCTCCCACTGAATTTTCCTTGCTGAAAAATAGTCACCTTAAGGCTAGTAAAAGAAGGTCCTGGGAGACTGAAATATTGGTTACAGTTTCTGAATACTAGCTATTCAAGTGCCAGGTTTGTGTTTGTTTCTTAATTTACTTAAAGACTAGCCTTTTCAGTGTAGTTTCATCAGAAGACGGGAGGGAAAGTATTTTGCATTGCTCTAGAAAAGATCATCACTAATTTCTGCTACACCTTCTACCATGGTCTTGAAAAGTCACTGAATGCATACTGTATGGACTATCATTGGTTTGTGGGCGAGGATTCAACAATAATCAGAGTTAAGAGAATTGGGAGGTAAAGGATGCCATTGTAAGAGGAGGCAGTGAAGTAGGTCTTGCATTGGGACTTCAGGGTAGCCTCCTGACTTCAGCTGTTTCTAGGCATGTATCTCTCAGCATTTCTAGGTATCCCGTAGCAATGATAATTCCCCTTCCGCTAAAAGTAGAGTTGCAAATGACATTTGTGTGCATTTGCCTGTAAGTCATGCAATGTTCCAGGAACATCAGTGGAGATGGCATAGCTGCTTGGGATGGGCAAGTTTTGATTTCTATGAGCAGTCAATGAATATTTGAATTGAGTTAGCTCCTTCGCTCCAAAACACTTATGCATTTAAGCCTGATTGCCTGACTACTGTCCATGAAATATCAGAAAACCAATATTTAATGTTGGGGGTTGTTAACTGAATATGTCCAAACACCAACAGCTAAATTATTAATGATTAGAAAGACACTGTTTTTCAAAGACCATTATACCCTTTCACTTCAGTGGCTTATCACTAATAATTTTTACAAATAATAGTTATAAGAGTAATATGTTTTTAACAATATTTATGAAGTACATCTATGTTAAATTGTTTTTTCCTTTAAAAAAATGGGTTAAAAGCAGGTAAAACAGTGCTTACTAAGAGCTTCTGTCCGTGGGGCATGTATTATTTTCTTGTGATTCTTCACTCACAAAAATCTGTGGAGCCTTTTAATTGTGTCAGCATCTCCAGGGCCACTCCCATGTTTTCTGGCCATTCTCTCTCTCACATGCGTGCAGAAAGTCTGGTATTCAATTTCCACTGAGGGCAAACTAGAATAAGAGTCTTATGAAAAAACACAAATCTACTATAGTATAACTATTCTACAGTATCACGTTGTGCTTGGCTAACAGAATACACAAAAAAGCAAAGAAAGACAAACTCAGGGGGGAAAATGTGTAAAGGACGCATTTTCCTACTGCCATAAAAAGGGAAGAAGGCACCTAAGTAGAGTAACAAATTAAAGCCCCCATGTAGAGACACTATGAAAAGGCTATAGTGAATGTGTACAAAGCTATATAGGGTCACCTACCACAAATATATCACTGTGCACGTGGAAACCAAGCCTCCTGGAAAGACAAAGAATCAGCCATACCTGTGGCATGTGCACTACTGTTCCATTTTCTCAGATATGCTGAAAATAATTTCTGTGTGAGAAAAGTCAGAAGAAGCTGCAGGAAAACATCAGAGTATGATGGCTAAATGATGAAATAAATGAATGAGCTTTCCTGTGGAGGGATCTTTTATTCTGTATGGAGGTATTTTCAGTTCTGTGCAATTTGAAATAGTACTGCCTGGACATAGGCAGTCCCGTTTCAGAACAGAACCAGACCTAGGCCTTCCTCTGGCAATTGACCCCTGTGCTCTTTGCTACAGAGATTCCAGCCCAGCAGCGTGACAGGAAAGCGTGCAGGCAGGTGTGTGGGTGAGGAGGGGGTGGATCTGAACAGAGATTGGTTTTCACCCAAGCAGCACATAGCGTGCATCCCCACTTGGCATTCTCGGCACATGCTGGAAATAGCCATCACCACACAGAGCACTGGGAATAGGCTGAAAGACAGGCGGATTTATGACTTACGGTCTTGCATTATTTGAAAGGAGAGTACTGCAAGAGGCATGGAATTGCTGGGGTAAGTCACAGCCATAGGCCAAGGGAAGTTGCTTGGAATGAGGCAACATGAGGAAGCGGGCTGAGCTGCAGAGGATGGAAATCCAGCTCCGCACACAGAAACATTTGCACCTGATGAGGACTCTTGTGTTTTATGGGGACTTGAACACCATTAAGCACTTTAGAATGGTCAGGTAAGATCCTGATCGTGAACTGCTTTTCGTTTTTTGCAAAAGCAGTTCCAGAACTAAGAGAATTTCCATCTTGTTTTCCAGTTGGGTGCTGTGAATTTGTCGTTTCATTCTTTAAGCCACCAGGAATTCACACTATGTGAGTGCTGAAGTGCCAGGCTCATGAATTAGGACATCACAGATATATATATGAGTGAATTAGGGTCTTCTTAGGTAACCTATTTCTAACAGTTAAAAGGCCTCACAATTCATAAATGAAGTAGGACATGTGGAAGAACAACTACTGTAAACTTCTCCTTATCCAAATGAACTTGATTTTGCATGTGAATGTTCATTTAAAACCAAGGGCCTCTATCCAGACTTAGTTTTATGTTGAATGAGTGGGATTGAAGTGATGCATGATTGACTTAAGTCAATTTTTCTTTTGCGTTTTATAGGAACTA